AGGCGCCGCCGCCGGCGCGGCGGCCTCGCTGCCGCCGGCGCGCGAGCCGGGCGTGCCGACGGGCTCGTCCAGGGTGGCCTTGGGGCCGGCCGACATGCGGGCCAGCAGGGTCTGCGCCTCCAGCAGCTCCTGCTTGTCGCGCATGGCCTGCACGCCGCGCTCCACGTCGCGCACCGCCATGTCCAGCGCGGTGAAGCGCGCGTGGACGTTCCCGGCCGCCGACTCGTGGGCGTCCTGCAGCTGCTCGATGCTGTCTTTCAGGCTGCCGCAGGCGGCGCCGGTCGCCTCGACGCGGCGGCCCATGTCCTCGAGGACGAGGCGGAGGCTGCGCACAAACTTGGACATAGTGGCCTGAGGGGTCGCGTGAGCAGGTGGGGACGCGGGACGCCCGATGCGTGGTGACGCTGGGGTGCTTGCGGTGTGGAGGGGGCGCCGATTGGAGCGGCGAACATCTGTGACCTGAGTGCTGTGCTGGCTTCTTGTCATGTCAGCGCGACCGCAAACAATACACACACCTGCAGCGGCGACCCGCACGGCCGCTGAGAGCGCTCCCGATCGTCGCTCACCTCGAAAGCGGCCTCGACAACCGTCCTGACGGTTGTCTCCAGTTCCTCCTTGGTGATCGAGGGCGCCGGAGGTTCGCTCGGGGTCCCGTTGCGGTCGCTGATCGCCATCACCTCCGGATCAGGTAGGACAGGGCCAGATACTGGCTTTGCTGCACTATCATTGCTACTCGTCGACTGCTGCGTGGCATGGCGGGGGCTGTGGCCGCTGGCCGAGGCCCTCAGAGCGGGTGCCTGGGCGGGAGGGGCCTTGGCCACTGGCTTGAGACCACTCCCGCCCAGCAGGTCCCCGAACATATCCGCAAAGTCATCCGCCATGGAACCTGGAGAAAGCTAGATCACCCGTGTCCCTAACCAGCAATTTGTGGTTGGTGTTTGCTGCTCTGTCGCTCACAATGCCCTCTATGCAAAAGTAGAAGCACAAGCATCTGTATATGCATTGTGTGGCTGCACAGGACCAGCAGCAGAGTTGCATGAAGCAAGAGCAGCAGCTGCTGTGCAAACATGACGTTCACCAAGGCGGGGGTGCATTGGAAGGCCGCCAAGAGGAGGTACGCCACAGCGCTCCACCAGATGAAAGTTTAGCAACCCTAGCCAAAACAATTATCGTGCCTTCGGATTCCTGCGCCGCGTTCGCAGCGCAACAGGTGTTGGCGCAACACCCGAACCCAATGCCTTGGCCCCCTGCAATCCACCATCCGCCCCCCAACTGCACCGCCGCCGTTTCGCCGCCCTGCCAGCCGCGGCCCCCGCCACCGTCACCGCGTCCGACACGGACACATCGGCAGCCCCGGCTGCCGCCTTGCCCGCCGCCGCCGACGTCGCCGCGAACGTCGCGCGCCGCCCGGTGGCCGCGGCGCGGCGCTGCTGCTGCGCTTCGCTGAGCTCCCGCAGCGCCTCCGCCGCGGGCCGCCACTGTTCCTGCGTCGCCGCCGCCTCGACCGACAACTGAAGCCCCGCAGGGCCCGCCGCTGCGCCGCTGTCGCCCGCTGCGCCGGCCGGGGCGGCCGCGGCAGAAGCATCCGTCTCCTCCGCAACCGCCGGCAGGTGGGCGGGGCCCGGCGCAGCGCTTGCCCGCCATTTGCGCTTTGCGGACTGCGTGTGCCCAGGCCCCATCGCCGGCGCAGCTCCTGCCGCGCCAGCGACGCCAGCTGTCGTGCCAGCGACGCCGGCTGCCGTGCTGAGGCTGCCCGCAGCAGCCCCGCCCGCCAGCGTCGCTCTCCGCGTTCGAGAGCGCGGCTGCGCCGGCGCCTCGAGCGTGCTGTTTGTCGCGAGGGTGCCTGAGGGCCGCGCCTCAGCATGCGTCCCTGGCAGTCCTGGCGGCTCAGCGATCATCGACGCGCCCTCCTCTGTGTCCTCTGCCACCGCATCCAAGCCGCCCTTGGCTGCTGCCAGGCCGCCGAAGCGCACGCGCGTCACAGCACTCGCCCGCCTGCCGCCGGCCCCACGAGGCTGCCGCGGCGCCTCGCTTACATCCGCGGCTGGGTGGCTTGATGCTTGAGTGGCGGCCGCGTCGCTGCTGCTGACGCCAGCAGCGAGATTGCTGGGGGCGTTGGCGAGCTGCTGGCCGCAAGTAACCCTGCGCCGCCTGTTGTTTGCCTTGAATGCACCGTTGTGCTCCTGCTGCTGCTGCTGCTGCTCCTCTTGCTGCTGCTCTTGCTGCTGCTGGTGCTGTGGCGGTGGTGACTCTGTTGACATTTGCACCGGAAGCTGCTGCTGGGCCTGCTCGGACTCTTGTGGCCCGTCGCCCTGCTCTGGGACTTTTGCAAGTGTCTGCTGTTGCTCCTGATGCTGCTTCTGCTGCCGCCGAGACCGTTGCGGCGCCCTTTCGCATGCAGCTGCTGATCCACTTTCCTGCTGCTGCCGTGAATTCAAGGAAATCACTGGCACTGGGTGCTGCTGCCAGGCGGCCACTGCCCTCGTCCAGCGTGCCACTTCTTGATTTGGACTCATTATGCGATGAGCTTCGTCCTGTGGCGGTTGAGTGGGCAATGGGTTTGTTCAATTGTCTCGTGTTGACGAGTATACCTGGGAGCTCGATCACAGCAGGGAATTGCTTGTGCAGTATGATTCGCCCAGCTGCCAGTTGACAAGCTTGAATTGCCAGTGAACATTACCACTATGACAGATTTGAGGTGCCCTGCAGGAAGCATGAGGTCCTTGCTGCGCGCTTGCTCAGCCTTGGCCAGTACATCTGCACGCGCGTCGGCCACCTCTGCCTGCAGCCGCTGCGCGATGAAAGGGATCGCGGGGGAGAGTGGCGCTTCCAATGAGCGCGACATGTGGTGGCCAACGTGAAGAGTGAGCACCTACAAGAGCACACAGCAAGGCGGAAATGCTGGCACGCACATGTCCGCCCATCGTGGGCAACACCACCACAATTCGTTCCCTCTGACACACACTCATGCTCACACAGTCTCAATATTGCACAACGGCCCCCAACCCCAAACGCACATGCATTCTCATCTCTACGCACACGCGCATATATATCACAAACCTCGTTCAGATCTGCCTGCTGCTGTACTTCACTGGCTTGCTGCTGTGCCTCCAGCTGCCGCCTCAGGTGGGTGACCTAAGGGATGGTGGCAAACCGAGCATGTGTGCAACGCTCAGTGCAGCAGGGCGTCAGGTGGCAGTGATGCATACCACAAGCGTTCAACCTCACACGAGAACCTGAGGCGGCAAATCCGCCGTGGTTGAGGCTGGCGCCCAACGACGCACCTCCGTCTGGAGCGCTGCCACCTCCCTCTCTGCCCTGCGCGCGGCATCCTGCGCGGCCCCAGCCTCGGCCGCCGCCTGCGCCGCGTCCTCGCGCGAGCCGTCCGCCTCCTCCCTGGCGCGCGCGGCATCATCCTTCGCACGCGCCGCCTCGTCCCTGGCTTTCGCGCACGCGTCCTTCACGAGCTGCGCCACGTCAGCCATGACCTCTGCCCTGACCTCCGCCTCAACCCCCTCCTTCTCCACCTCCGCGCGCACGAGCTGTTGGGGAAAGGCGTTTGGTGGGCGCTTATGCCTGCGCCTGCTGCTGCGGCTGCAACTCTTTGCCTCTGCAGCGGGGGCAGCCTCACACCTGCGTCACACCACCCTTGAGCATGTCCAGCCGCCCCAAACGTTGGCGCCTCAGCCTCACCTGTCACGGATACCCCCCGTTTCCAAACATGAAACCACACCCCCTCTCACCACACACTCATCCCCTACCACGCCGCCTGCCACCATTCACTCATTCCCTGTCACCCCGCACCCCCGCACCTCCTCCCGCAGCAGCTCCACCTTGCGGTCCATGACGTCCAGATCATACTCCAGATCAGCCTTTTCGTCAAGGAGCTCCTCCACACGGGCCTCCGACGCGACCAGGCGCGCCTTGAGGGCCGCCACCTAGGTGGTTGGGCAGGTGCAGGGGTTGGGAGGTCATAGCTGTGCTTCCCCTGCTGCTCAAGTTTGGACGTCGTGTTGAGCGTGTGCTGATCAAAGCATGCAGGCGCGCACACGCGCGCAAGCGTGTGCATGCGTGTGTGTGCGCGCACGCTTCATGGGAGGAAGAGGTGAGCGGGCGAGTGTGCATGTGTGTGCTGCGTGCCCGTGTGGACGACACTGATGGCCTGTTAACGCACCTGGGCAGCAAGGGCAGCATGCTCCTCGGCCGCCTCGGCTGACACAGCGGCGACGGCCGCGTGCGCGGCGTCGTGCTGGGCCGCCAGGTTTGAGGTCATCTTGATCTTGGAGGCCAGGGCGGCGTACTGTGGGAAGGGAAGGGGGGGGCATTTCAGGGCAGCCGAGGGGCTTTTTGGGTAGAATTGAGGGGGCGGGACGGGGAATAGAACGAGTGACAGGTACTAGCTGCTCGCTGCAGAGGAGCCCCTGCTTAACAGGATGGCTGATCCCCCCCGTCCTGCCCTGCACAGTCACCTTATCAGCAACACGGCAGCCGGTCAATAATGGTCAAATGACGACCAACTATATATAAGTGGAAATACAAGGCCCAGCCCACCTCCAGCACCCGCTTGGTCTCGTTGAACTCCTCTGCCGCAGGTGACACGTTGACCAGCAGCACAAAGCGGCCGTGGCCTGTCAGGATGGCCTTGAACATGTGCGTGATCTGGGGCGGGCGTGAAGGATGGGCGGACTCTGTGGTGAGCGGTGATTCGAGCAAGATGGCAGCGCACATCAAAGCGGTATCAGGGTGGAATCACATGACGCACACACATAAAATCAAGCACGTCTACGACAAGCTCTGCCATCATTGCAGCACATACGCCGCTAGCGGTTTGTGTGGCTCCAAGAAGCGCCCCTTCCCCCCGCCCCCGTACCTTGCTCTCCCTGTAAGGGATGACCTTCTGGTCTGCCGGGTGCATTTGGTTGTAGCGCAGCACCTCCAGGCAGCGCGCCAGCGTCATGAGAGACGAGTTGATGGCCACACTCTCCCTGTAGAGGGGGGAGTGGTGGCTCACATGTTTCTGGCATGATCGCACATGCAGGTGAAAACCATTGCGATGACACCAAGCCTGTTCAAGGACGCTGCCGTTGTCCAGGGCCGCACAATTCACAAAAGGGTGTGGACTGTGGCAAACCTAAACGTTGCCTGATGATTTGCACCAGCTCCCTTGGCCCCCGCTCCCAAACTTATACCCCCAAAAACACACCTTAGCCGCGCCCCAGAGTTGCCCGTCCTTGCCACCCTCTCGCAGCCCGCCAGGTCCACGAAATGGAGGTAGCTGGCCTGAAGCTGCCCACCGTGCGCCCCGCTGGCACCAACCCCGGCCTCGGCCAGCGCCTCCCCGCAGCTGCCGCCGCCGCCCGCCTCGTCTTCTCGCTCGCCGACAGCCACCGCCGCCGCGGCGCCCCGCAGCAGCTTCACCGTGAACACGGCGTGGCTGCGGCTGGAGTGCTCGTTGATGCGCGTGCCAGCGGACTGGCGGGCGCGGCCGGCGCGGCGCAGCAGGTCCAGGGCCTCCTTGGCGCTGCGCACCTCAGCCTGGTGAGGCGTGGCCACACATCAAGCACGCATGGCATCAACGTCAAAACGTCAGCGGTGCACAAAAAAACGTCCGCAGGTGACTGGCAAGATCCCGGCCAGCCGCAGCCAACCCTGTGATGTTGCTCGATTTGCATCTGCCGTAGAGACCACGCCCAGCTGCCGCCGTCAGCGGCCCCACAGGCCGCAGCGCCTGCCGGGTCCCTCACGCACCTCAATCGCGCCCTGCACTGCGATGTGGCGGCCGCGGACCTCCTTAAGCTTCAGGGCCGGGCGCGCCGCCGCCGCAGCTGCGCCCGCGGCGCCGGCGGGCGCTTGTGCGAGCGCCAGCAAGTCATGGACCACCTCATTGTAGATCTGGTGGGCGGCGGTGAGGTGCAGTTATATTTGAAGTGGTTTGAGGGCGGTTGTAGTGATGGGCGAGGTTGTGGAGAGATGGATGAGATTGGATGGGATTTGGGCTGCAGGCTGGCAGCAAGGAGGCATGCAAACAACCAGGCAGCTGCTTCCAGAGCCCAAACAGGAGATCCGCGCAGGAAGGCTGCCCATCAAGGTGGAGGGCCTTGCTCAGGGGCGGGGTCGCGACACACCTCGTATGCCGACACCACCACTCTCGCCACCGCCACGCCGCCGCCGCCCGCATCGCCGCTGCTGCATGCACCCGGGGCGCCCAGCTGCCTGAAGATGTGCTCCAGCGCCTGGGGCACCAACCCCGGCCTATCAGCCGTGCCCTGCGCGTAGGTGACGCCCAAGCCCAGGGGGTGCGGCAATAGTGAGGCTGCATCTGCACAGGCTCGTGCACGTAGCCAGCCCAGCCGCACCGTCACCGCCGTGGGGTTGAGTTGAGGAGGGTTGAGTTGCACCAACCCAGCACGCAGGAGCAGCGCGCGCTGCCGCAACGCGCTTGTCCCCACTGCCGGCTCGCCTGCATGGTGAACGTCTTGCCGGCCGAGGTGACGCCGTATGCCATGATGACGCCCTCCGGCTGCCGCGCCCCCAGGAGGTCTGATACCATGGCCTCTGCCACCCCTGCGTACATCGCCTGCTGGGGGGTGTCCTCCTGGAAGACTCGGGAGAACTTGTAGAGCGCCTCCTTGTTCTTCCTAGGTTGTGAGGAACAGCAGGGCGGCGATGGGAGTGCCAGCGCCCCCGAGCGGAATGCAGAGCACCCAGCTGCTGAGGCAATCGTGGTAAAGATCACGGATTGCTGGGCCGATCTGCCCGGGGGTGCTGGTGAGCCTCGCGACCGGAGCTGCAGCAGCAGAAGCAGTGGCGGCGGCGGCGGCGGAGGCGGCGGCAGCAGCAGCAGCAGCAGCAGCAGCAGCAGCAGCAGCAGCAGCAGCAGCAGCAGCTGCACCCAACTGCAATCGGAGCAGCAGCTACCAGTCGCACCAGACGGCCTTGACCAGTTGGCCCTCCTTCTCGATTGTCATGCACCGCTCCAGCTTGCGGGTCACGGGCTTCACGCGGACAAACACCTGCAGCAGCCCTTTCCTGACCGCTTCGTCGCTTTCACCAAACAGCTTCCTGCAGGAACCAGTCGTGGCACAACAGCAGCTCAACTGCATACCCAGATGTCTGTGCTGTGGTGTGCGGTGCTGTGCATTGCTGCAGTTCAAAAGGGCATGCAGCGTGTGCATGGACGTCGCGCATGGAGTGCATGGACGTCACGCATGGAGTGCAAGGACGTCGTCGCGCCGCAAGGACGTCGTCGCGCCGCACGGACGTCGTCGCGCCGCAAGGACGTCGTCGCGCCGCACCGTGGCAGCAGGGCAGACAGGCGCCCCTGCACTCCTGTGTCCTTGAATTCATCCTCTGAGCAATCAGACCCGACCTCCTCCGCTTCGTCGGCCTGCATGCCGGCCTTCAACAGGACGCCCGGACCTGGGCGTTCTACTCTCCGCTCAACAAAAGCATGGGCGGAAGGGACACTCCAACACGCACAGATACGATAAATGGAAGTTCCTTGACGTGAAATGTAGGATGCAGCACCATGCAGCCGCATGTGTGCTATGGTGGTGAGCCACCTGTCGGCACCCACGGTCAAGTTCGAGACGGTGACTCCGATCTACTCATCATCTTGTGCAGCAGTGACTGTCTTAAAGCTGCTCACAGCTCAATGTGTACCGGTATGCTTGAGGCGAGTGCGTAGCTATCATATCTTTTCGGCAAACATTTGAAAGTTGGTACACGAAATACGCAATCTACCTAGTCAACGCCATTTACCCACCCAGACCCCAATCAGCCATGGCAAACAGGGCCATCTGCAACGCAGTAGAGCTGTCAGGCGGAGTAAAGATGGCAGATTTGTGCAGGTATTTTGAAGAGCGGCAGCGATGGAGGTACGTTGAAGAGCGGCAGCGATGCCTACGCACCGTGTTGAGCGCAGCTGGTACGTTCAGGCCCAGGCCAAAAGCGAAAGAAACAGTGTTACCCAAGAAGGTGATAGTGCTGCCATGCTGTCCTTTGACCAGGGCAATTGCAAAAAACGGGGCATCATTCTGTGCCGCTGTTGTATCAGCAGGCTGCGCAATCATTCATCAGTAGCCCAGGCCACCTGCCAGCAGCCGCTCCGCATCCGTCAAAACATCAGCAGCGGTGCATGGGTGCTTACCCCTCACGCGCATCACCCTGCACGGTCCCGCTCCAACACCAGGCTGCAAAAGTTGGCCGCATGGTCATCACACACGGCGTCCGCCTCGTCGAGGCACAGTTCCATGGCTGCTGTCTCACAAGCCTCTCGCTCCTCCCAGCTCTTACCTGCAGCAGCCGCAGGGTTGAGGTTGTTGATGCGATGCGCAACAACCTAGCATTGGCTGTGACAGCAGCCCAGGCATCGCTTGTGGAGCAGCTTCTAGAAGGTTTTACTGAGTCTCCATGCTGTCGCCCGTCCCTGCCAAGACCCAGAAATTCTTGCGCCGCAGCCGCAGCTCAAGACACAGTCTGGGCGGCTGCGCGCTGCTGCTGCGACGCCGCACCTGAACCAAGACCAAGCCAGCGTAGCCAGACAGGCCCACGGCACTCACGAGCCGCCTTCAACGCACAGCCGGCTCTGCAAAGGCCAGGCCAGCGTGTTTAAGTTTGTGGCGTGCGCCTCGTGGACGGGGGATTCATTGAGCACGTTGGACATTGGGTGACCCCACCTTGCACCTCTTCTGCAATTTGCTGCAACTTGTCTGCTGCAGTCACTGTGGAAGCACTTGCGCTCTTGATCGTTCTTGAACATCTGCGGGCGAGAGAGTCGGCAATGAATACGACATCATGGCGTCGATTGTGCATTGTTCTGGAGAGCTGGGCGGCCCTGCACAGCCCTCCGCTGTGCTGTGCCGCAGACCGTCAGCATCCATTGCAGTCGTCGGTGCCGACCTGCTCTCCTGCGATGTTCTACCCACCAGCTTCGGTCCACCGGGCCCCACCACCGGCTGGCGCGCGAGGGGCACCGGTTTGTCGTACAGCGTCAGGTCGAGCGCCTCGGCCTCGCCGCGCACAGCGTTCGTCCAGCGCATATGACGCGACGCTTGAGACTGAGAGAAGAAGCAGGTCGTTTCAATTGGATCATAGATCCGCAGCAGGGCCCGGCGATCTGAAACTGATCTACGGCCGGAGGCCGTCCTACGGCAGGCATACACCAAAACTGAGGAAATAACGAGACGGCTGGTGCATAGGTGACTAGCTACGGTGTACAAGACGCCCATGACGGGCTGCATCCACAACATGCAGTGGCTTCTGCGCCCAGCATCAGGTCAGCATTGGTCAATCCATCAATTGGGTCGCATGCCACACCTGTACGCGTGCATATAGGCTTGATGTGCCAGTGTTTTGGGGCCAGTGACGCGCTGTTACCATGGATGGCGCATCCATGGCGTGGGCGGTTGAGCGCTTGTGACAAATCAACTCTCCTGGTTGCTGACTCACACTTGAGTACTGTGCTAGACACAGCACCGTGATGCTGGGGCGAAAGCTTCAGTTTACAGTTGCACAGCCAAAACATGACACGCTCATGCAAACTGGTGCTTGGTTTGATAATATGCGCGATGCGACGGAGACTCAAGGGTGGGGGGCAGGCAACCGTGGAGGCTGTTGCCAAAACGGTGGTCTTCAGGACGCGAGGGGCTGGACACCCAGTCATCCGCAAGTGCGCTGTCACAAAACGCATACATACTGTTCAGAAACAAAATGCACGCGTGCGGCTGCGCCGCGCGCACATGGAGAGGCTTGGCTCCCCCGGGCCCGGCACGGCCCGCCAAACAGAAATGCGCTATGAGAAACTACATGCACCCCAACAAAGTAAGCAAGCGATGCACCTCGGCATCCAATTGCAATGCGTTTGCTTCGTGACCTGCGGTTGATATTCGCAGGTCGTCAGCAGCAGCAAGGGTGCCAGAATGCGAGATGGCGCGCGCGGGCGGCCGGATGCACACTGCAGGAGAACCACCGCCACAGGCAAGGGCAGGTGTGCTGGCATGTCGGTCACTAACTCAGCGGTCACACATGGGCGCAAAATCATTGAAAGGGACCGATTACCGCCTGGTTAGGCGTGAAGGGGGCGTGGCTGCACAGCAGCGTGCTCAGGCAGTCTGAGATAGGTCCAGGGAAACGACTGAGGTAAGAGGGCGTGTGTGCATATGTGTGCCGGCTATGCACGTTCTGCACGGCGGCGCACGTGGCTTTGTTATGCCAAACGCAGGGAGCCGCGGCTGCTTTGCGGGGGGTAATGTTGGCCGACAGCTTGCTGACTCGGTGCACCTCCCAGGAGCATGCACGAAACGCCTGCCCGCTCATGGTGACCACCCACTCATCCTGCCCGCCCAATTGTGATGCCCGCCCAGTCGTGATGCCCACCATTCGTGGCTGCACGCCACATGCACACGCCCGCTCAGAAGAGCAGGGCGCAGCGACTGCGGTTTACGCGCGCTCAGATCAACTGGGCGGCGCGGTCCCGCTGCCCCGGCCACGTCGCTAATCAAATAGCGACTGCCTTGGCCCAGTACCCCGCATAAGGCAGGCACGCGGTGGGGACCAGGCGGCGGCCGCCCCTTCCCGCACGCGGCGGCACGCTCCCGTATGTAACTCCCTCGCCGCCGCCGGCCTCCATCTGCCGGCTTATGCGTCCAAGGCAGCGCCCCACATCGGACCGGAGAAACGCCCACGCGTCCTGCACGCCACTGCCGCCGGCGCCGGCGAGGTTGGAAGCCTGCGACTGCACGTGCAGCACGTAGCTCTGCGCCTCCTTGAGCCACTGCCGCGCCTCCTCTACCAACAGCATGCCGCCTGGAATGAAGGTTGTTGCACATGGGAAAAGGATGACTGGGTGATGATAGGAGGGGAGGGGACACCAGGATGGGCCATGCACGGGTGGATTCAGGGCCATGCTGAGACACCACAAGGAGGGTTGGCATGTGAGCCGATGCGGGGGGGAAGCGAAGCCGCCTGTCGCAGGAACTCACCCGCTCCAACCGCCACTGAGGCTGGCGACTCGCCAAGCCCGTGATCAACCGTCACAATTGCGCCATGCAGTTCCTGCAATGCCGATGTCAGCTGCCTGTGCGCCGCTGCGACGGACTGCGTCCCGCACGCCGCTTCCAGCTCTGCCGCGGCGTTGCGAACGGCGGCCGGCAGCCGGCTGCCGGCCTCGCTCGCGCACAGACGTCGCAGCACCGCAGGTCGGGGGCCTGCGCGATGAGAGCAGGGGGTGTTGGAGGCGAGGTTGGTGACAGATCTTACGGTGGATAGGGATCCGCAGCAACGGCCAAGCTGCAGCAGCAGTGTCGGTTCGGTAGCACCAGGGACAGCCGCCAGGGGCCACGGGCGGCAGGTGGGACCGAGACTGCGGCAAGTTCAGGTATCTGTACAGATTATATATACGCGGGCACACGTGGACCCGTGCTGCGGCGCTGAGACGGACCTAGCAGGTGCTGCGCGGGAACGGTCTGGTCCTCCGAGGAAGCGCACGAGCCCTCACTAGCTGCCCGATCAGAGCAACTCTCATCTATGCTCGAGCTGCTGCAGTGCACGGGCTGCTCCTTCTCCCTGGTGGGCGACGGGGCCAGCGCTGGTCGAGGCGGCCCGCCCGCACGAAAAGGGCGTCTGTGTATCATTAGGAGATCCTGGAATGGGACAAAGCCGGTCGACACGAGCCGGAGCGCTTTTGGCGCCTGCCGGAGCGGATCTACGGTGGTGCTGTGCTGGAACAACTGATCAGAGGCGGTAAGGAAGACCGTTTTGAACACACACTATCACAAGCTGAGCGATGGATAGGTGGGAGCTCCTGGTACTGTACGTGGGTGCGCTTCCTGTGCGGGTCATCCCAGGGGAAGCTGCCTCAGTTGTTGCCCTCTCTGCAGCCAGCTCAGGACAGCAGCATGGGCCATGCAGGTTCATACTGCCTGCCTTATGTAAGAGCACAGGTGGTAATCTCCCATGCGATCCCAGTTGAACATGCGTGTGAGCTCGCATTGTGCAACATGCACACGCCCCCGTCACAAACGAGACCGCAGGCCCCAGGCGTGTGATCACTGTCTGTTTTCCATATAAATCAAATATGGACGTTTTCAAGGACAAGAGCTATATTACACTCTGCATCAGGGCAGGCCAATCCAGGGTTTTCAGGGCCAAAATAAAGTGCTTCACAGGCAAAGATACGGCCGGCACTGAGGGTCAAGCGGAGCCAGCTGGAATGCTGCGGTCAAGATGAGTCAGGTTACGGCGTGCAGGCTTGCGACAGGACACGAGGGGGGGGGGGGGGGCGCCAGCAGTGGCATCCACTCGCTCCCAGTGACCGCCACAAACAGCGCTGCAGCGGCCCCCCAAGAACATCAGAATGCGTGAGAAACCAATTGAAGGAGAAAAACCACGAGGGAGGGAATGGGGGACGCGACCTGGCCACACCTGGGACGCGTCTGTGCACTTTGACACGACTTGCCGCCTGACGCGGCCCGCACTGGCCGCAAGCCTGCCCGCCTGGTGGCCGGCCGCGGGCCGGGGGGCGCGCGGCTTTTCAAGGGCGGCGTTGCGCTGGGGGCGCCCTTTTCAGGCAGGAAGCATCGCACTGGCGAGCATGGTAATGTGTATATGTATGGGTCAACGGCGAAACCCCGCGTTGACTGCAGATGCGGCGTTGTAGCCTGTGCTGCACTGCAAGCGCGAGCGGCAGGGCAAGAATTTCCTACGGCTTGGCGCCGGCGGACGGCGCGGGTATCGCTGCAGCGGCAAAGCCGCGAACGTGGGGCGGCTATAAGACTGGACCTCGAGAAGTTGTGGGGGTGCTCTCTTGCGCCGGCCGGCGGGGGGCGAAGGTGCAGATCAGAGGGCGTGTGCTCGCTCACAAAACTGCGCGGCGGGCGGAGGCCAGCGGCGGATGAGGCCGCATCGGGCGCATCGCCCCGCGGGATCCCTTGGTTCTGTTGTTGTTCTAATGCTCCTGATTGTTGCTGAACTGCTCGCGCCAGCGCATCTAGAGGGCAAGCGGTGGATGATAGCGGGTGTTGGGAGCAAAAACGGACGACAGGCCCTTCACACAGCGCCACCTCCCGCTGTAATGCAAGCTGCAGCAGCAGCTTCCGTCGCCGCCAGGACCTCTGCCGCAGAGGTGACAGGAGACGCCGCGGCTGCGGCGGCCCCGTCAACGCCGCCGGCGGCGGCGGCGGAGACAGGAGCTGCTGGCGCTGGCGCCGCTGCGGCGCCCTCCTCGGCTGTCGGGGCTGCTTCGCAAACGGCCTCGCCCGCCGGATCCTCGGCCTTCACCACCTCTGGCTGACCGTCTGCCGCCGCTGCCGCCGCCGCTGGGTCCTGCACAGCCACGAGTGCCGCGGCGGGAACACCAGGTTCATCTGCAGTAGTGGGCGGCGCGGAATCCTCAGCTGCGGCAGCGGCTGCGGCCGCGGCGGCCGCCGCCGCGGCCACCGCGTCGGTCATCGAGGGGATCTGCATTGGCTGCCCGTTGGGCGCCCGGTAGGTGAGGTGGCGCCCGTTGCCCGACCGCTGCGCCGACGCCGGCGGCGGCACGACCGAGCCCAGCGGCGCGGCGACGACCTGCCGGCCTGGCATCACTACGTGCCGCGGGTGCGAGCGGGGCACCAAATATGGCTGCGACACGCTCGAGCCGCCGCCGCCGCCGCCGCCGCCGCTGCCAGGCGGCCCCCGCGTGATGACGGGCGCGCTGCGCCGCGACAGGTGGGCGGCCCTCGCCGCCGCCTCAGCGGCCGAGGGGCCGGCAGTGCCGTCGTGGCAGAGCTGGCCCAAGGCAAGGAGCGCCTCTGCCTCGGCCTCATCAAAGGTGGACGCGCAATGGGGCCCAGCCACATCTGCGGCGAGCGCCTCCACGCCGCCGCCATGCGAGCCGGAGGCGCCGCCGCGGCCGGCGGCGTCGTACGCGCCGTCAGCGGACGCGTCGCTGCGCCACTCGTCGTCGTCCTCCCCGCTGCCGCTCGTGCTACCGTCGGCGTCCGCGTCCGCGCGGCGCCGCTTCCCACGCCCGCGCCCTCGGCCGCCGCTGCCGCCGCCGCGCGCGCGCTGAGCCGCGGCCCCTCGCCCCCCGGGGGCCGCGTCGGGCGCGGCGCCGTGCTCAGCGCCAAACGCGGCTGGTGGCTCGCCATCGGTCCGCCCCTCCTCCCCGTCGACCGCCATCCCCGCGCCGCCGTTGCTGTCGTGGCTGGCCGCGCCGCCCAGCGCCTCTGCAAACTGCCCCTGGCCCACCATCTGTAGCAAGGCCTCCAAACCGCCGGCCACCGGCACCGGCGCTGTTGCCGCCTCAGCCGCCACCCCTGCCTCAGGCACGGCCGCGGCCGAGCTGTCGCCTGTTGTCGCCGCCAGGAGCGACAGCATATCAACGCCGCCGCTGCCGCCACCGGCGGCGGCGGCGACGGGGAGCGGCGCCGCGCCCGGGGCGGACGCGCCGCCAGCGCCGGCCAGCAGCTGCAGTATTATGTTGGGGTTTGCCGTCGCCGCAGCAGCCACCGCGGCCGCGGCAGCTGCCATGCCGGGCTGCGTGAGCGCACCGAATAGCGGCAGCTGTGTGGCCAGCGAGGGCGCCGAGGCGGCGAGCAGCGTGGCCACGGCGGCCTGCTGCTGCTGCTGCTTCGCGATGAGGGCAGCCAGCGGCTCGGCGCCGGGCGTGCCCGCGGCGGCCGCCGCGATCGCCTGCAGGCCCGCCGCCGCGGCGGCGGCCTGCGCGGCCGCGACCGCGGCGAGCGGGTTGGCGG